CATATCGATATATCAATAGTTATCGACATATCGATATATCGATAGTTATCGACATATCGATATATCGATAGTTATCGACATATCGATATATATTGATATGTTATCGACATATCGATAGGTATCGATATATCGATAAGTATCGATATATCGATAGTTATCGATATATCGATAAGTATCGATATATCGATAGTTATCGATCTATCGATATATCGATTTTTTAGCTCTACCTATTGTTATTCGATATATCGATAACTATCGATACCTATCGATATATCGAAAAAAATTCCCATGCCTACTCGTGGCTACGCTTCGCGTCGCCACTCGTGCCACAAGATAGTCGTATTACAATAGGTCGCATTGTAACACTTGTCTTTCAATATACTATTTCCTGTCGTACAGGTCATCTACATAATTTCTGATCCCGATGTTTGGGATGAAACTGACCATTCGCTTGAACTCGAGCCGCCAGACGCCGAAACACGTTATGAGACTACTATTGCTGCTGCGGATATCACAGCAGAAATAAAATATGTTTTAACATTATTACAAGAACTAATGATGTTCGCATCATCATTGCGGTTATGTATAGGAATAAATTAAACTACTCTCTGTGCCTGATTTGATGATTCCTCGATTGCATAACTCCAAAAGTTTTCGCTTGTATGGGCAGAGCCGTCGTTAGGGTGGAGCGAGTTTAGCGGCCACTCCCGGACTCACGCTGAAAAAGGCCTCGCGCTCACTCAAAAATAAGTAAAAGTTTTGGTTGGGAATGAAAATAATATAATAATGTACAGATAGATATACGTACCAGAGCTGGATCGAGCGTTCTAAAAAAACCGCGTTCTAATTGTCTCAAAAATGCTCGCAAGCATCGAGTTGTTTTGCAAATCGAAACCGCTTGCGAGTTCCGCAGTTGCGCGAGGACACGCGCATTTTTGTGCATTGAAGTAAATGTTAATGAAGAGAGAGTTTGCTTTTTGGTGGTGGATATTTCATTGGCGACGAGGAGTTTTAATAATAAAGATCAGGAAAATGATGCATGAAGCCTTTGAATATAAAATTATTCAAAGATGAAGTACATTGACGAACGAAGTATGATATTTTTCAAATGAGACAGATTAATTTTTCTGAACCATGTATTTTTGTGAAATGGTTACCAATTACATTCGCATTAAAATATTAATCAGATTTTATACATGCACACACAGCACACTCGCAGTAAATGTATTATAATTTTTAACCCTTATATGGAACCTAGTTGGCATTTTAGAAACTACCATCATTCCGAAATTCGATTAAATTTATTCAACTGAATTAATTATTTTTCATTGTCGCTAATAAGCCGATAGCGATTTACACTTGCAGCATAGATAGATAGCACTTAACTATTTACTCGGCTCATTTTTAGCGAATTTCCACAAAAATAAAAATGTCCTCGTGTGAGATCGAAGGGACTTCAGCGCATTTTTGTGCGGCAGATCATCAGTATTCTATTAGCCACTTTTGACTGAACCATCAATAAAAGATCTTGTCGAAGGCTACTACATTCACTCGGTACCCGCTTCCCACTTTCCGCGTGCACCCGCAATTCGCGTTTGAAGATTTGACTCCAGCATCAGTAAGATCACAGTTAAATCTGTGGTAAGACCGTGTCAGGGGCTATCACATTCCCTTTGACGGTATCCAGTTCCGACTTACCGTTCACCCGCATTTCGCATTTGAAGATTTGACTTCACCATCAGTTAGATCTTGTCGGAGGCTACCACATTTCCTTTTTCGGTGCATACTTATATTACACCCACATTTTGGTGGATTTCGCTAAAAACTTTCCACAAGATAGTACTTAATTTTTGGGGCACTTCTCATTGCTCGAGCTTCTATTGGCGACACGAGAAAGAGATACAGCGATTTAGGAAACGTTAAACCGCGTGATAAAATTCGCAACGGAAGGTAAAAGGCACCCTAGGACAAAAAACAAAACTCCGCCACGCAGGAGTTGTGCGCGTTTACAACATCTTTCCAACGACACCAATTTGAAAAGGATCGGACCAAAACTGTAGTAGAAGATCGGAAAAAACTGAAAAACCTTCACGTCAGTAAACTACGCTCTAGAATGACGCCCAGATGTCGCCAACCTCACATCATGTAGCCCTGTCCCTAAGGTTGACAAATTACACGGCCTTGTAGATACACGTACAGCCGTTGCCTTTCTACAAGAGTTCTTCTACGCATCCACATTTGCTGCCAGCCAGCCAGCCAGCCAAAGTGAGATTAAAAGCTACTTTTTACAAATAAATTTGCAAAAATGCACTATTGTGGCTACTTTGTTGTTGTGTTCCATAATTTTACACTTTTGATAATTTTGTATCGCCGTCTGCCCGTCTATCTCCGTCTGTCTGTCCACCCGTCTGTCTCTATCCAGGTGCAGTTGTGCATGATAACTTTTGTATTTGCGTAATCCAATTTTCTTATTCGTTAAGATATTTGTATGTAGGCGCCTCCAGTAAAGGTAAAACTAATGCCGAATTAAAAATTTCCAATTTTTTTTAATGAAATGTATGTAGGCACTTCGAATGAAGGCAAATCAAAATAATTACCTATTGCGCATGCCCAGACCCACATTCGTTGTTTGTAGACTAATTCTTCTAAAATTTTAGAGTAGGGTTCTTCTTATAAACTGAAGTAGCACGTCAAAAATGGATTGCACATATGCAACGCTTACTTTATTAATTGTGGCCCGATTTTTACGGTTTTAACAGAAGTTACACCTTACAAATGGGAAATGAATGCAAGTGGAAATGCGCTTTTTTCACTCATGGTATTAAAAATAGAGCAGGGTTTGAATCTAGTTCTAATCTAGTGAAAGCTTGAGCCAAATTACCAAATTTGCTATGGCCAGCACACCTGCGCATGCGCTTTCTGTCCAAAAGCTTTTCAGCTCTTCCTGTTATGTCTATAAGAGTACGAGTATGTGTACCAAATTTGATTCCAATCAGGTTTAGTCGTTTAGCCGAAAATTAGAGAATAGACAGACAGACCGACATCACCGGGATTTTGTTTGATGCGGATTCCAGGCGCTTGAATATATGTATTTCTGTAAAAAAAATGGGCGGGTGGTAAAAATAAAAGATTCACCGTCAAGACTCATTCTTCAACTGGTTGATTGTTACTTGAAAAGACTTGCGTGTTAATGCTACTTTTAGTGATTGATTCATTATAAAAATTTCAAGTTTTTTTTTACATTTTTTACCCTTCCACCCTTCTTATTTCCGATGGTTTCGCTACTGCCCTGGACAAAAGACCTGCAAATTCAAACCCACAACATCACGCACCCATTAAATCAACAGCAGAAGGCAATCACCTATACCTATTTATTTAATGGTACCTACAATAAAATTACAAAGAAAAGCCCTCGGAAAAGCCTTAAAACTAACGCACGTACGCACCCCAAAGCGCCTATCTTTCTGTCACCTCAACTAAAATAGTTATTTGTCCAACTAAAGAAGCGCTTCATTCAATTTGTTTTCTCCTTCTAGTGATGTAAACATTTAACACTTTCTTTTGGAAAATTAAAATTTTATTATCTGATCTAAGTAGTTTATTTATGCCCTTAGGTTGGAGATTTAAAAATCAGTTGTGTACTACCCTAGAATAGCTTTTTACTTGAATTAGTAGCATCTGATTCAAACCCATTGATCGTATTGAAATTGCAGTTGTTGGAGTTGTAACGTTTTGAGACGCTCCCCCCCCCCCTCCTTCCGCAATCGCGCAATCTTGACTAACCTTTATACTTACAGTTGCTAACTCTGGTGAAAAAGAATATAATTAGAGCCATCAAACTTTCAAATCAAAGCAACAAACAAGACGTTTCATGGCACATTCTGGATAGTACATATTATTAAAAAAAGACCCTACGTTCTGTATACTAGCAGTTCTTTTTATGTCTTGGGACGTGAGACATAATCAGGAAGGGAATTAAATAAAATATATTAGGTACAAAAGGCGATACCAGGGAAACCTTTTATTGGCAGCATATTTAAAAAGAAGTTTACCATTTGATGAGTCATTATTATTGCTTTATATAACAAAATGGAAACATCTCATTTCAAAATTTCAAGGCACGTGGGATCTGAGAATTGAAAAGCAAAGGCAGAGTACCACAATAGGAGTTTTTACAGATGATGTGTTTATCCCAATAGTTACCAGTTTCCGGAAATGGCAGTTTTGACCAACACATTTTCAGCCATGAAGCACGTTGATTCCCTATCCAGGAACATAAACCTCAGACTGCCTGGCGTACTGAAAGAGTTTTCAAGCAGCGAAGGAGATTGAAAAAATTAAGGTGGATTTGAAGCAACAGCACCACACACTTTAGACATATTCTAATATGCACAATAAATATGAAAAAAAATTGACAGTTCCTATAAAATTTGCAGGTGAATTTAGTAATTTAACTAAAAATTCTCTAATTTTGCAAATACATTTTATATACAAAAGGAAGATAGATGGTGCTTCGTTCTTGGTCTCAAATAATTAGTAAAATTGGCTTTACATTAAATAAACTAAAAAAAGTGAAATATGTATTTTATTATTGACTAGACATACATATATAACTCAATTACTATCCTACATTTTGCAGACCTGTAATTTCAATTAAAATTTATTTTGAGATCAATAAAATTCCTACTTAACCAAGAAGAGTTTTATCATCAATCACAAATAAATTCGAAGAATGTATATATACTGTTTGGTAATAATTAATTGTATCTACCTAAAAATTATATAAAACATAATCACTACTTCCGAGAGTTCTTAACTCTTACATTTTTAAATTATACTTTTTGTAAAAATTATACTTAAAATTTATATTGCATCACTAAATTTCGAAAATGAAAATCTTTGGCACTCAATTTATAATATCGTTGCTGTAGTACGCACGGTATTGAAGAATGACTTCGTTATTATATAATAAATAAATATTCAGATGTGGCAGTTAATTCTAATATAGTATAGAAAGTGTACTGGTATCTAGAAGGTATCAAACTTCAATACCATGTAAACCAAAAAAGCTGTACATACCAGATACAGGCACAATATGTTCACTTATAATTAAAAAATACAAAAAATAGTAGTATTTACAGACTTATACTGAAAAAATTCCAGCATGCCATACATCTCAGTTGGCATAGTGTAGAAGACGACCCAAAATAAATATCTGGTGTTATTTCGCTTGTATCGATAATTGAGACTGCACTCCATTTAAACGACGGAGAATCCAGGCTAATGCTGAAACAGGTGGTAAATAAAATAACACTGTAAGTAAGTACTTTTTGATTAGGAAAGCCAATCTTACTCTATTTACATAACATAATACATAATTTGTATGGGATAACTACGCCAAGAGATCTATCAGACATTTATGGTGTATTTTCAAATGAATTTAAGAAAGGAAATATTACAAGTAGGTAATAATAAGCAAATTTTGCAATGTTATAACTTTAAAATAGTTAACTAAGTAATTATTATTAATAATCTTTAAATTATTAAAAAAATACATATGAGTATAATTAAAGAAATAAACAAAAAATGTGGAAAATGAAATTACAAAGTAATTAATTTTCGACACTTCTGAATTTATATTTTGTGCAGTTATTTTAAAAAAACTTCCTTTGTGAGGAGAATAAATGAATAAATACGGGAAGAACCTCTAGCTTGAATCACAACTTCCAAGATTGCACTATCAGTGCAAGCTAATCTACAGTAATATATAAAACTAAACTAATATTGAAACCCTTACCATATTTGCGTGAAGTGGAGATTTATTATTTGGATGAAATCGAATAAGTTCAGCTACTGTAATGGCAATTTGTACTAGTCCCCTTCCTTCCAGGACATCGGACGAACAACACACTAAATGCTACAATAAAGTACGGTATAACACAATGTGTAAAGATAGCATGTATTTAGCAAGGTGGGAATGTAGGAAATTGATACTACAAGAAAGGAAGGGTTACTCCATTGTCCTAAACTGTAATAGTAATATAATAACGTATAATAACCATTCCACTTTCTCTTTTCATTTGCACTTCTTACTTTCCAAACAGCCTGTGTAATTTTAATATTAAGTATGCTCTTAGTAACTATATTTCCTTGTTATACTGAGATGGGTTTGAGCCAAGGCAGCTGTGCCAACTCTATCCTTTAAACAGATACTCATCTAACACAGATGTGAACCAGGAGCCCTCTGTGTTATAATCTAGCATCTACTCATAATCCAACCACTATGTCAAGCGAATTAGCAAGTTTCTAAACGTGACTTGACATAAAAACAAATGCACCTTGGTACTGGTAGCAGAAAGTAGCGGTTGATGGTAAGCTGCGTTGGTAGGTTATTTGTTGGTTTAGACATTTTCTTTTTTTTAAATGAAAACAGAACCAAAAGCAGAAACAGAACCGAATGAAACATTATGTGTCAATTAAACATTGCTTCTGGCTTTTGATCTTCAAATGATGTTTCAAATAAGAAACAAACTCAATAAAAAGGCAAATGATAAAGATCTCACACCATAATTCAAATTGGAAACTGTATGCCGTTTAATTAATGTGCCTCAACTGACTGTGGCGTGGCCCCAAAGGAATCCAAACCACAGGGAAAGAAAGACCGGCAACATTTTTACCAACAGTGAGAACAAAGAATAATTTGACCAGTTAAGCTGTTGGGAGCTTATATTAGGAAGAAGTGTACTGGTTTCGTTCATGATTACCATGCTGGTAAAAGGATTTTCCTTTCCTGTTTCAAAAAGGACGCTCCGGTCGATAAGTTTTTCGAAGGGTTTGCAAATCTGGTTTCCTCGTAACCTATTTTTTTGCTATATTGTTCTGGAACGAAAGACGATCAATAAATCAAGAATGAAATAGTGAGGAACCGGCGCAAATAAATGCATCACCTACAGTACATTTTTGGAAAGATCTTAAAAAATTCTTTTGTTGTTACCATACAATTGTATATAAAAAAAAACTTCGTATATTCCAATATGAGTTGGAAAATGCTTACCCTAAGAGCGGAAGGTAAACGTTATCTTGGGTCAAAGACACTATGAGTTCTAAAAAGTATAAGTGTATCATATCCACCATTGCTTCAGAATGAAACGACTCTTCAGATGGAGGAGGTAAGCAATCGAAACACACCTTTTCTTTTTCATTTATCGACAAGTGTCAACTTAGAATTTCAATTGTCTACTGGCTAAGTACATGATTTATCAACACAACAACACAGCCAATGGAAATGAATATTTCCAACAACCTTTGTTGTTACTGCTTGACAAATCCATGTCTGTTACATTAAACAACACATTGATCCTTAATTACAACATACACTTGTTTTGCAAGTTTGTTGATAGAGTTAATTACAGTCCATTGGAAAAATTTTGTTTGCATAGTTTTGTTGTGAAGCGTTCACTATCAGTTATTTCGAGTGAAATGAGAGTGAGACACACTGATAATATATCTATTTTATTAATAACAAGCTGCAAAAAATACTGAAATACATAATACTCCTAAGTGATAGAGTAAAGAAATGCGTAACAATAAAAATATACACTTTTTTTAAAATTTTAAAGAGCTACAACAAATTAAGGCAACTTAAATCTACCCCTAAAGCACCGACATATATTCAAAATAATAAATAAAAAAACTTAACACGCATATTTGGTAGAAATTGTACAAATGGAATGATTGGCGATTTACATTAACACAGTTGTATAAAAAACCTTTGGATCTTGCTACCCTAATACCTTTGTGAATATATATGTATAAAAACGTTTATATATTTAAAAAAACTTTTCATGGCACTTGTATGCGTGGAGAATAAAGTGATTGTGTATAAATAAGTGCCATTATTTACAAGTATGTGTCTTGCTCAGAAGACTATCCAATTTTAAAATGGATTCATGCTCCAAGTTTGAAAATTGCTGTATGCGACAAACTATGGGTAATCTTTGAGCACGACACATACCTGAAAATACTACTCATAATACTAAGTAGCAGTCTTCACATAGGAATAGGTAATACTGAGAGCTACCGCTAGTGACTAGATATAAGTCTATGTTTAGCACTTAGTTGTATTCATGGCAAATATGTGTTATATCAACAACTGAACTATAATGTATTTATTGACCATTTCAAAAACAAACTTTGGTGTAAATATTATGTGGTTCAGATACATATATGTTAGGTTTTATCTACAATGGTATCTGTACAATACCCAGCTTCTTTTCAGAAAAAAAATATTAGTATTTTATGACTACTTTGAGTTTTGTTTAGGGAAACAATTACAAAGCCGTTGAAGTGGGTACTTAATAATAGACACAATTGCTCTGTTAATAAATTTACACACATGCTACAGAGAAAAATTCTACTGTGTGTATTTACACTATCCCTTAACAAAGATGAGACATAAAATATTGTGAAAAAAAATTGTTTAATAGTCTGAATTTTTTCTTACTTAAACTTAGTCTTTTGTATCAAATATATTAAATGTCATAAAAAATTGGCCGCATCCCAACCACTTACTACTTCCTTATAACTACTTGAGGCACAGCTTTTTTCACTCAATTTACAAATCTACTATCCTTAAGAATTATGTTTAAGTACGCCGAATTTATCAAATACATCGTAACACTTTTAAAGACACCCAATCACACTAAGTAATTCGTAGATGAAATTGGTCAGGTACGAATTTCAAACATCTGTTACATTTCTTGCTGAAATTATACGTACTTAAGGAAACTCACACTGAGTGAGTTGCAATCATAACTTAGCTGCAGCACCATTAAATAGTAAAATAAGTATAAACAATTAGAAACGCCTCCAAAAAAATAAAAGCACTTCATTTTTTTGTATGAAAACGTAAGCAAATTCCATCAATTAATTCTTCATTCCATTTTAAACAAAAAACTTTTGAATTCATCCCTTAATAGTTGAAGTACTGTGCAAGAAAATAATTCAAGCATGCCATTTGACCTCCTTATAGCTGCACGGAATTAATAAATAGTATATCACAAGTACAAGACCTCGATTTTAGTGACCATTTACCACTTCTGAAAGGTGGCAAATAACCCAAAATGCATAAATCCAACTGTAAGTTAAAGCACTACAAATTATAATTTCAAGGACCTATAATTTCAATTCAAAAAGGAATTACGGTATACACTTCATTTTTTGAGTTTATGTGCGATGTGATGAGACTATTCCCCCACAAACAAATTAAAAGAATTGTTTGCTAATGATGTGAGCAGCGAGTGGAACTCTTGGAGAATGTCCTTGTAGCCGCTCCACGAGAAATGGTTTTCCAACACGACAGAGGTCCTGCACATTACAGCGATTCGGGAATATAAGATTTTCAGATTCATGGATTGGCTGTAGGAGTCCAGTAAGGTTGCTGCCAAGATCGCAGACCTCACAACACTTTTTTAATGAACAAAATGTTACCCATATTTTTTAAATTTTTTTTAAAATGGCACACTTGGGTTCGAAAAATAGCGTTTAACTCAAGAAGAGGTCTTGACCTGGGTCTCAATTCCTAACTTAACCGCCGCGCCGACGCGATTTAGTTTCTCTCAAAACAAATTCGAAAAACTGGCAAATTTTTCAGTTTTTTTTAAAACATGGAGACGATAACTGTGTACAATTTCACTCTAAGACTTTTTTCGCTATCTTTTAAGGTAAAGGAATTATTATCCGAGGGGTGTTAGATGCTCCACCCTGTATAAAAAAAATTGGTTGATAGAGGGGATCAAAAACCAAAACCAATACTTTTTCCTCTTTAATCCAAACAGCTGGATAACAGCGATCAAATCAAAAACAATTGAGTATCCAAGGATCAGGATACCAAAAAAAATTTTAAATAAATACCCAGTATACCTTTACATTTTTTGAATGAAAATGATACTTTGAATAATTATTTTAAACCATATCCATCAGATAATTAAAAATTAAAATTAAATTAATTAAATTAAAATGTTCTCAACAAAAAATTCCGAAAAAGAAAAAACTAAATTAAACGCAAACAAAAGATAGAAAACTGTTTCAGTTCGCCCAACAAGACGCTTACTAAACTATGTACTTTTAATTATGCTTTTGATCAAGATCAGCAAATTTTCTATTCGAAATACATTATTTTAAATTAGAATGATTAATTAATCGAGGGAAATATACAGGGTGAGTTTTTTCACTTCACTATGGGAATCTCGTAAACCATAACAGATACAAAGTGCAACGATATGTAGAATTTTTGCTGAGTAATTTTCCCATTCAAAGTTTCTTGTAGCTCTAGTAATAGCCAAACAAACCGAAAAATGTAATTTTTGAGAATGCGCCATTCTAGATTTTTTTATCACTTGATGGACAAAAAAAGTAACATGTGCTACTAAACACAGTGTTTCATTTGAATCAATCTTGAATTTTTGGGTTTAGGTTTACGATGGTATTTCTTATCCCCATATAATGGGCAGGTTCGACAATTTTTTATTTTAACTGAAATTGAGAGATTTTAGTTAAAATAAAGGACATAACAAAAATGTCGACCCTCCCTAAGACAATAAACAAATGAATTTGATTTCAATCATAAGAAATATTTAAAGCCAATAATTCAAAATTTAGTGTTTAGTATTACTGCTTTTGTAATTTTTTGTCCATCAAGTGATATAAAAATCCAATATGGCGTCCTTAAGAAATAAAAAAGTTGATGTGATTTACTCTAAACACGGAAGTCATATACAATTACCTCTCGCTTAAAGACTGTTAGTTTTGATCCTCTCTAACCATCCAATTTGTTTACACGCCTGTAAGTGGGAAATTTAGAGTGGCAGCGCATTTTTACTTTTGAGGTCTTCATCTTCTTGGCATTGGAAAATAGTGTTTTACATTTGTATAATTAAAATAATGTATGCCTTATTATACAATGTGTTTTTTGGGGAGCTTTAGTAAAACGTTGCTACGAAAGTGAAATAAGTAGGTAGGTTTTTGAAAATTTGTCCTTGAGAGTTACCTACTCTCAAGACCGAATCGATGTAAAATATTTTCAAAATAGTGGCACTTGAAATGGGATACACACTTTTTAAAAGTCAAAATAACTTGAAATCCATAAATTGCAGATATTGACAGGTGGATATCTAGCGAATTGAAATCCTAAGTAGAATCAAAAAATGTAATAAAAAATAGGAGTTACCATTTAAAATAACGAAGTTACTAGCTACTTCCCGTATTTCCGAAAGTGCCACCATTTTGAAAATATTTTACATCGATTCGAAGGTCTTCTAAATACAATTTTAAAAAACCTACCTATTTCATTTTCCCAGAAACGTTCAACTAAGGCTCCCAAAAAACACCCTGTACATAATATGTTTGTTATGGCCACTGATTTATTGTACTTTTTGAATGTTCCCTATTTGGGTTATCAGACATTTTGTTAACATTCAAACATACTACAATGTGTAGTGTGGATTTTCATATGAAAAGTGATGCAGTCAATACAACTTAATTAGAAATGCTAACTCCACCTCCTTCCTTCCAACACTTAGTATTTATTTGGCCAAATGACTATCATTACAAAACTAAAAGAAGTGAACTCTTTCAATTCACAGACTTTAAAATAAACAATATTTCGTCGTCTTTTATGACTACATTAAGGAGGGAACAGTCCTAAACTGAGGTCTAAGTCTGTAACTTACTTTTGTTTTAAAACTCACATAACCTATACAGTGTGTCCCAGATCGGGTGGATTAAATCCCACGCGATCTGGAACACACTGTATGCTTGATGCGACCTATAATACCCATGATCACATCTTAAGGAGGATGTATTAATTCATTGAGAGCTACAGAACAAATTACTCTTTTTTTTCTACTAAGTACAAAAGATAAACATTTAACATATAACATTAATCCTAAAAATGTAACTAATCTTTAGTCTCTGTTGAAATTAAACCATATACCTTAAAAATAAATATTTCTACATTTTCCAGGTCCGATAAATTATGATCAAAATTATAGTACTTACTGTTCTTTCATAAAAATTGTAAGCTCGTTGAGACGTGGGGAAATTTTAAATTTAGTCAGGAGGGGGGAAAAGGATCAGCAATACGACAGTACTAATAAACACAGTAAGAAGCAGGAGTGAGACTGCAGTATCGTGTTGACCTCGAACTGGTGACATTTTCAGTGTTGTTACTTCTACCTGGCAGAGCGCTTCCACCGTGTCCAGCAGGCGTGGCAAACCTCGTCCTGCCAGTGCTTCGGTAACATCTACACTACTGCATAGTCGGCCCTGCAACCAACCCACAGTCTCACTCTCTGTTTCAAAGAAAAAAAGCATTGTTTAATACACCGGCCAGCAAAAATACACTTCAATTTCAATATAGTGCCACTTTGCTTGTCAGCATATGCAACACACAAACTACTCACAAAATTAAAGTTAACTCACCTCATCGACACCTATCCTCCGACATGCTTCGATGAAATTGTCTACATTCCTCCTACATCTCGCCATTGTCAGTTTTGGCTGTGAATTTACACAATTACAACCTAATTAACAACAACGTCAAACAACTTACAACTGCCGGGGAGGGAACGTGAATACTAGCCACCGATCTAGGCCTAATGTTATTCGCTAGATGGCACAGTACCACTCCGTCCGTTAGAGCCGACGATAAGTCATCTGGGAGAGCCATTTTCAAACGGGCTTCAATTATCTGCAACATGAATACTTTAGCTCCTTTGCTGTTTGTATAATAATAGTGTTAAGATGTTAATTATATTATATTAAGTCGGCACTACAACTTTCTTAGTTGTAGAGTAAGAAAAACTGTTGAATTAGCAAAATTGTGTATTTTTTTCTACTGAATCCAAATCTGTATATAACACAACACAACATCGCGTTTAGATAACAAAAATTTGACATTTTTATATGGAACACCCTGTATGTTATTACATCATATGACACATTATTAGATTCTCTACAAAAGTTCTAAATGCACCATAGTCCGGTCAAGTTAGCCCAAAAAATAGGGGTATCCTTGCATAAATTCCCAAGAAGCTGAAAATTCACATGAACATTAGGGATACCATTATAAGTTCGCAGAAATGGGTTTTCTGGATTTTTTTAGTGAAGCGGTTAGTTTTATGATAAAAATAGCCCAGACACAAATTTTAAATCATGCAATTATATACAAAAAATGTCCTTGCACTTTTTCTCTTAAGACTCAGTACTTCTGAGAAAAAACGATTCCAATATTTACTAAAGGATATTCTCTATACTATACGTTTCCACGCCACCTGTGAGGTAGTGTACTTGGCGCGTTTTTTTTAACGTGGTTTCCACGGTAGGCCTACTCTTCGGTCTATTTTATTTAATCCTAGTAAAATAATAGGTCTTATTCAATTTATTCTTGTTTTTCGTCTTCTCTTTCTCCATGAACTTCTTGTTTTTCTTCGTTTTCTTCTTCCTGAGTCGACGTAAATTGTTCAAACAGTGGTACATCAGGTGTTTCGTCGTCGATGTAAGGATCTTCTCTTGTTGAAGATCTAAAATTTGAGCAAGATTGTTCTTGACAACTGGTGCATGCTGGTGAACAAAATAAACCTACATTTTTGCGGCCGCATTTCGAATTACACCCCTTTTTGCAGTTGCAAAAAATAGTATTAAGGAGCTTCTCTGGTGAAGGTGGAAGTAGTGTGTGGATTGGTTCCAAGACATTATCAATTAACTTCCAACCCCATTCTTCTGGGATAGTGTATACAAGTTTACTACACAATTTATTTAATTGAAAACATAATCAAGTTGATTCAAATTTGCACTCATTTTTTTCCATCCTGTTTCATACAGGATTGTATTTTGAAACTACTGTTTGATTAACTGAACTTTTGATTATCCGAAGCACGACCGGTCCCAATTAGTTCGGATAATCAACGTCCTACTGCACCACATCTTTCAATACCAGAGAATGTGGAAGACTAATGGCATTTTGTTGGGACCATAACAAAAAAAGCAGAAAGACGCGCACTTATCATTCAATATTAATGTATTAGTCACGCAGACTAATAGTTTCACTTATATTATTTGTCCAATGATGTGCATAGGCAGCGTAGTCACGCATGTTATGGGGAATGCAGCTTTATAGTCAATCGCTTTTTCTCAGAAATACTCAATCTTAGGGGAAAAAGTGTAAGAACAATTTTTATAGATAATTGCATAATAATCTACAATTTTTGTCTAACCTATTTTTATCATAAAACTAACTAACTAACTTTTTAATTGCAGTTTTCGATTCAGTAGTATTACTTACAAAATGGTGGAGTATTTGAGCAAAATTACTTTTCATAATTTCTAGGATAATTTCGAAGATGGTTGGTTTATAATAAAGTTCTATGGATTGTCTGTCATAAAAAAGATTTATCAACAAATTCCCAGGAAATCTTAGCAACAGACATACCAAGTTTACAACATACAAATTACCAGGGAACGTTCTTAAAAAGTCTAGTTACTATTCCATTCACCTAGCTAAGGCAATGAATAAGTGCTATGTTTAATTACTATTATCACCAAGAAAAATTTGAAAAAATCGCAAGCTTTAAATGCTAAAAGAGCAACCTATATTGAGGCCAATTACTTACATTACGCAACTGGTCGATCATCTCCGACTCTTCTTTCGCCTTGTCTATTTCTCGGCGCATAGTAAAGCTAATTTTTTCGGTAGGAACACTTTCGTTCCACGACACGCTGCGATTTGTCTTCAAACCATTTGCACCCTTCGCCGCGCCATTAAAGTAACTTATTGTGTTCGCTATCCGTGGACTGCTTGGTTTACCATTGATAAAAGTCACCGCGGTCGTTTCGGTCGGCGGTACATTATTGTGCACCATAATGCCTGTGGAGTTTTTCAGAGGAGATTTGGGCTTTATATAGTCTTGCATGTATTTATTTGTACCATTCATCGTATTGCCGTTTGATTGAAGATAATTTGCATGATTTTTCGACGGGGACACTTTTAGTACGGGTTTTCTCGGACTAGTATCGTCGAAGACATGTTTAGGGCTACTTAAAACAGAATTTAGTGGCGTCGGATCTGACTTCGATGTTGCCAGAGCACTTCTTGATGGCGACATGTGATGCGTAGGAGTGTTTGGTTCCGTTTTATAGTTGTGGTCATCGTGCTCTCTTGTACGGTATATTGAAGGTACATCTTGCGCCCGCTGCTGTCGAAGTGCCTCCTTGTACTCTCTAAAAATTGTTAATTATCGTTTCAAATACACAGTACAATACTTTCGACTTACTTGTAAGTTTGAATTTGAGTCAATGGGCGACTTTTATCTTCCATGCCATTAACCAACGTTGTATCAAAACTAGAAGTTATAAAAAATGAGAATTTTGCACCGACTTGGGTCTCCCCCCCCCCCCCACCTGCTACTCCAGTTCAATTCAGGAACATTTAAACCTATTCCCTTTTTGTTTTGTCAATGTTGCCATCTTACAATTTTTTTCGGAATAATTACTCTTATGGCCGTTTGCACCGACAAATTTAAGCGGAGTGTAGCTTAAAAACCATGACAACGATTATTGAGACAATGGTTGCCATGGATTTTTAGCTACGCTTAAGCTAAGCTCCGCTTAAATTTGTCGATGCAAACGGTAGTTAAACAAGCCTCACTTTTATTGATTGTAGCAACCTTGTTTGTTGTAGTTAAGAACTAAATTTGAGCAATAATGTTATCCGAGTAAAGGGCAACACTTCAATAATAAGAAAGTAGGATTTAGTGATACAGGGTGTTCCAAATGAAATGGTAACATTTCCGAAATTTCAAAGTGCCATAACTATTTTTTTTTCAAATCAAACTACCTGTATTTTATTTCGCTATTCCATAGTATTTTGTGTTCTCTTCAATTTTTATAAGAGACGTCCTGTATCTAAACTTCACAGTTTTGAGATTATTCAATACTTTTCACAAAAGTACCTACCTATTAATTAATTACATGTTTATACACAGGAGTAAGCCATGATACTTTTGTTTATTATTATCACGACCTACTCCAATACATAAACGTAAGTAATTAATGGGTAGGTAAAATACACTAATAATTATACCAGTCACCTTCTCCCAGATTCAGGGCTCCTAGATGATATTGTAAGGACCATAGACGTTGTGTCTTGTAGTATAAAACACCACTCGACACCAATGGACCACGGAAACGCGGACTGGTATTAGTTTCCAAACTTCCTGCGGTCTGTTAAATTTAATTAAGTCTGTCTTCGGACCACGTCCCCAACGGCGGCATTGGCTCACCCTTTTCGAGGCAACTAGACCACTAAGTTTTGTGACTTATAAACAAAAACAATCTTAAATTACGTATTGAATTCAATTATTCAATATAAATGAAAAGAAATTACCTTTGCAATATTCCTACAATGGATTCGAACTGAATATAACTAATAAATGCCTTACTACATTTCATATTTCTCTTCTAAGATTCAATTTGATCGAGTGTGTATATTTTTAGTAAAGCTCTACTCATGGAACAACATTGTACATTTTCTTCTAAGGAGTTGCTCGTTAAACTTGCATATGTCTACATATTTCACCTGTGAATGAGTAAGCTTGACTACCTACCCGAACGCTTCTTTTACAAGTTAAATATCCATTTGGGGTTTTATTCATTACTTCCTGGAAACGTTAACGAGCCCAAGCATTTCTGTTTATACAATCAGTACCGTATTCAAGTTTTGATTATGTGAAAAGTTATGAAAATGTGTAGCATCGAAACTGCGTCAAATAAATATCGTCCATTTATGAAGTGACCCATATTAATATTTAAGAAAGATCTTGCAACGCTCGTTGAGAAATATTAATTTAGATAAATCGCTAAATTATTAACTTTTACATAGCGTTCTGATACCCATTGCAATTCATTAAAGACGGATCACTTCAGTACTTGAAAAATATTGAATAACTAAACCTAAAAACTAAGAGGTTTAGACACAGAGCATCCCTTATAAAACTTGAAGAGGACACAAAAGACTATCGAGTAACAAAATAAAATAGTTTGACTTTGAAATTCGGAAATTTCATGAACATCCTGTATCACTAAATCCAACTTTCTCATTATCAAAGTGTTGCCCTTTACTCGGATTAACATTGTTACTCAAATTTATTTCTTAACTTCAAAAAACAAGGTAGCAATGATTCATCAAAGTGGAATTATTCGGAAAAAAATTAATAGGATGGCAATATTGACAAAAAATCAGGTTTCAATGTGGAAGTTAACAAATGGGATCGAAACAATTAAAAATTTACTGGGTGTTCCATTTAAAAAAAATCAGTTATTTATTTAAACCGTAAAAATGGAACACCCTGTACATTCAAAATTAATTTCTATAGATGCGCAGCCATCTATAATTGACATTTGCACTGCACAAAAGGTTTTTTTAAAAATATTGTTTAAAATGCATGAGCTAGGAAAAACCACTGTTGCAGGACCCCGTATAATGTATATTCACCATTGTATCTATAAATCATGGCTTATAAATTAAATTGAAAAGACTCGCTTTAAGTGTCCTTAATTAACTTCTAATTTATGCACAAAATATTGCTTTATATATTTGTCCTTGAATGAGCGAGTCTCAAAAATTACAAATGGATCCAATAAGCAGACTCAACCACCCCACAATACATTTTTAATTCCTACTCATTTAAATAAGAAACGATTTTATACTTGTAATATAAAAAGCTCTTTACCTTATGCAAATTGTTGATGCTATCCTTGAATTGATATAGAGCCCTGGTGAGGGAGAGGGGGTATGTCCAAACAGGTTGTACTTACCTATTAGAATCTCGTACAGTCTTACTATCCTCTCTCCTGTCAAAATCATTAAATAGTGATTTTGATGAAAGATCATCATCTATTGTTGTATCAGGAGCAGGTGATATCGTTGAAGGTGTCGAATTAGGCGAATTTGTACCATTAAGTTCGTAAGCACGTGATAAGATTGGTGAAGATGTCCAATGTTTCTCTGTGTCGGCTGAAAATTCACATTTTCTTTCACTTCTTTCATCATTTGGTGTGACGTACCAAATTAATAGAGATAGATAACAAAGATCAGACATAAAAGGGCAAAAAGGAGGAGAAAGAATGAAATACCTACGACAAGTAAAAATATGAGACAAAAAACATAATGCTGGTGAAGGAAAACGATACTACAAACAGAAAAAGTATTCATTCAAAAAATATTAAAAAATACAAAACCAAATGAAATTAAAGAAAATAAAAATCTTCGAGCACTAAAAATGAACATACTGTAACAAAAAGGACTACTTACGAGCGATTTCTTGCGACCATCTTTTATCTAAACCATCGCTGGTACTGTAGCCACTATCGACGTTATGCCTTTTTTGCCTTAATCGTTCAGGTAAATGTGCAGGTGGGCCAGAAGTTCCAGACGATCGCCTAGATTTTCGACTTAAAGTATTATTACCACTAATTCCGGTTTTACGCTCTAATTTAATAACTTCAGTCTCAAGATACTTAAAGATATGTATTCTTCCTCGCTTACACAACTGCAAGAGGATTGTCAGTTCCATTTCCCACACATTTTCGGTATACTCACGCTCGCAGGGGGACTCGTTAAGGGGTTGTCTTCGATGAAAAGTTCTACAAGCGACGTAATATTGATCATCTCTACTGGAAGTGTGCTAATTCGATTTGCTCTTAGATCTAATCGTGTAAGATTCAAGTACGTAATCTCGAGAGGAACGCATAATAATAAATTACTTCGTACTACGAGCGATTTCAAATTTTGCAGATCGCCCATCCGCGGCGGGAGATGCGTTAGCTGGTTACCCGAAGCGTCCAGCTCTGTTAGCTGCGACATCCGTCCTAATTCGTCAGGTAAACACGCTAGCCTATTGTTTGAAACTAACAATATCTGGAAAAGAAAACGTCATTAAAGAAATGGGAATGGCATAAAAATGAGTAGTAAAAGTGTGCGGGATTTTAATTTCCGTAATAGCCAGAAACAGCGCTGTTAAGAGTTTATTACAAGTGTTAAAATTGTAAAGCGTAATAAAATTTAAGACCTCGTTAATTGCAATGATTTTGAAAGAAGTACTTTAACCTTCTACACCCGCTTCTACATGTGTAATAAAATAGTTATTCATTTTTGTATTTCAATTTGGCCAATGTATTATTACTTTCAGACTTCAGTTTCAACAGGTGGAGAGAGCGGTATCCACACAAATCAAACGATTTTAATTAACATTGCAAAAGAGATTTTCTGGTTCTAACAGTTTAGTTAGCCTGGTACTGAAGCCCTAAATTCAAATGACTCCGCCACACTTACTGCCACAGTCCAGTACCTTAAAGTGACCAACCTGGTCAATAAACTGTAAAAAATAATAATGTAGTTTTAAGGTGCTAAAAACAAAGGTTGATGTACCTCCAAATAAATCGTCAATTTAAAAAAAAAAACCCTTTTGAAGGTAACCGTAGCGATTCCTTTACATTTACAAGTTAGCGTACATGTTGACATAATTACAGAAGCTTATCTACTACACTACCACAAAGTCAAGATTAAAGAAGGATGTGTGTATAAAATCATTTTTCCTTCTAAGTATTTTTATATTATTAGGGTGGGGAATTAAAAGTAAATAACATACCACCGTACCACATATGCAGTGAGAGGGTTTTTTTATGTCAAGCATGGAATCTCAGAAACTATTGGAGATAAAGGCGGTGAAATTACAGAACTACGACCCGCATGTAATGTAACTTTACATTTTTGAAAAAAATCTATACATATATCTAAATATTTTTGTAAAAACCCTTTACTTTCAGGGGAGTAGTTACCCAAAATCTATGAATGGCGAAAGGAAAGTTCATAAAAATCGCCAATCCAAGCAAACCGGCTGCAATTTCGCGACACTAACACTCGACATCGTGATTGTGCACATGTGTAATAAGCCAATGTTCCGCAGTGTTGATATTATTGTCGAATTTATTAACTAGTTTTTGTAAGTTATTGGCGTTGTGACCTGAGAACGCAGCAGTTTCATCGGAAGTCAAATTAATCGGACGTTTCGCAAACCCATTCAGGAAGGATTATCGTGGAAATGCAATAGAGATAAACTCTTTCGGTAAAATCTACGTGCGATCGATTTCGTATGTAGAACTATTGAAAAATTATAAAAGTAGGGCTTTAGACTGACCATTGGAACGAATACAGAAAACTGTACAGTTTAGTAGAAATGAATAATCTAAATATAGATACGAAACGATACCCTTGTGTGTGCGAATGTGGGTTTTAGCATTGAAAGGAAATTAATTATTTCAGTTATTTATAACCCAAGTTGATTTGCTTTATGTAACCGTCATAAGACTAAAACCGTTGAATGAAGGAATCAGGTACAGGCGGAACCTCCATACTAAGCATTTCCCTTCCTTATCCAACGTACTGGAACGCCGACTGGAAACTTGCCGTCGGGATCTGAGATTCCATAAGCGCCGTGTAAATCTCAGATCCTACGTACGCAACGATTTCAAGTATAGGCATTGAGCCTCTATCTCGATTCCTTCAGTCAATGCTAAAACGCAATTATGAAAAAGTAACAGTCGCGGTGTAGAATTCAGATGTAAATAAAGTGAATGAATATGTATACTGCATTACGTGTGTATTTATACAATTCATCGTTATAAGAAAAGCGTTTCTTGAGTCAGAACTTATAACTGCGGTACCTAAAAATATGAGTGCAAATAGTAGGAAAGAGCATTGGTTAAGCAACCGTAATTGCTGCCGTCCACTTGATGTATCCCGAACAAAGCAATTAAGGCAAAACCGAGAAATCATATCCATCGAGCCATCGCCGAGCCGTAGACGAAGATTTTCGCAGCATTTCCAAGAAAGAAAACAAGATAGTTGAACATTTCCACGGTGTAACTCAGACAAGGATTCTGTAACCGGTCCGTGCACAGTACATCTGAAGGCCAATTTCATTTCCAACAAACGATCTCAAACTTGGATTATATAACCGGTCCGTGCAGAGTACATCTGGAGGGAAGACCATTTTTATTTCAATTTTGCACCAGGTTCGTGTTTGTGGACACTGGACACCGAGTGCCAGTAGAGTTTAAACTGGCACCTGAAACTTCTTAACATACTAGAGTAATGCAGTTCGTTTCGTTTTTATTATACAGGGTGTTGATGAAAATACAGTACAAACACAATTACTTTTCTTTTAGTGTCTGACAGCAATTCATTATACATTGCGTTTGGTTCATTTGCAAATAAAGTTGCATACTAGGTTGAATACTTCCTTTTCCTATCAATGCAAATTGTGTTTTCGTGAATGTATGTTTTTTAACCATTTACCTCAAACCCCTAAACCCAAACCCCAAGATTTTATCGTTGTAAATTGTATTCATTGCTTAAACATTTTTTCAAGAAAACAATAACACTCAAATGAAAGCACGAAAAAAATTACTTATGTAAGCAATACGAATGCTGGATGAAGGCGTGATCTCATCGGCGGCTCCGGTGTTCTTGCTCATGTAGCAAGAGTGGTCCGGGGAAAGGATGGAATACGCGGAAACCCAACGTATTGTGGAGCAGTTAGAGTTAGAATTTTATTTTATGAACTGTATTAGTTTGAACTTCTTACTTTTTCATTTTTATTAATAAAATACTTATACTTACTTGAATAGGTAACTGGCAGATCTCTTTTGGAAGAACAGTCAAGTGATTTCGGCTAAGGTCGAGGTAATTGAGACATTGAAGATTACTAACGGTGTCCGGAATTTGACGTATGGCATTGTGATGGCACTGCAATCGTTCCAAAAACAAAAATTCGGTAATTTCTTCTGGAAGCTCATTAAATCGGTTTTTGGACAAATCTGGAAAAAAAAACAAAATTATTACTTCATTTGCGTGTTACACAAAAACACTGTAATTTGCCCATAGAAGGTAATTATGCTTTGACTATTACTTCTTGGTCTTAACATTAATCAATTTTTTCCGGATATAGATAATCAATTAGACACTGACCGTCGAGTCTTTATGTTGGTTCAACAGTCATTCCCAACACAAGGCACGTACCGAATAAGGTAAAAATGTATTACAACTTCTCTGAAACAGTCAGTCAAGTTTATAGTATAGTTGATAATTACGCGTAAGTACAAAGAGTAACTAAATTAAAAGTTAAGTAAAACAATGACGAATAAAGGATATCGACATCCTTCTTGATAAAATATGTATTGTTCGATGGATAAATTACTGGCGCCGTGGTCAGCATACAATTATTTGTTAGTAAATGAATATTAAAAGGCGTCTAGCCATTTTTTTGTCATGGCGCTGTACCGTTGGCATCTCAGGGGAAATCTCAGTTATCGCACGGAAATTGATATAATTAATTAGGTAATAATGTTACGTAATCAGTATTTATTAATGCTATTTCACATTCAAAATGTCTCCGGGCTAGTGAAAGTAGCGGGACTAATAACTAAGCGCATCCGCGTAATCCCGTAATAAAATCCCAATAAAATGTGATAATGCAAAAAAATGGCACCTACTAGTAATAATTCGAAAATTTGACCACAAATACGAAACAACACGAATAATTACGATTTTTTCTCGTCGTAAAATGCAAATAACGAGTATGATAATTATTATTTTTGTTTAAACATTAAGGTACATTTATTATGCAATTAGTGAACAGTCAATATTAATACCATTGAATATTCAATTATAACACTTAAATAAACAATTAACAAATAATTTATGCACGAATTACCTATATATTTATTATGTACTTTTTATTACAAGAATTGATTTGCTCCGACCCACTTCACGTAGGTGCGGATATGAAAAAAAAATTTTCTTATGCACTAAAATGAAATTTTGTGCCATTGGAAGAAAAGAAGCTGTTGCAAAAATGCGATTGTTTTTCCCATTAATCAAGTCCTACTAATCAACAATCTATGAATGCATTCCACATTCCACTTCTGCTTGTTTTGATTTTTTGTAATAGACCTTGAAGGTGTGTCAGTCTTGATTGTTGGAAGGATGAATTACTTCTCGAGATGATGTTTAGCAACTAAAATTTGCGTTTTCTGAAAATGGGACTGTAAATGCGTCTGGTTAAGACAATCATTTATAACATTTTGTTTCAGTTGTTATTTTTTTTCTGCATACAACTTTTTTTTTTAAATTTTCGTCTGTGGGGTTTGCTCAACATTGAATTTGTTGTGGGTAGATTTAAGTAGTATTAGGGAAGATTAGGATTTAATTTGTAATCGCTTTTAAATTTTGTCACGTATGTTTACGAACCCAATAGATTTAGAGTCTTTTGTAATTCGGGTAAGTCGAGTGTGTGATTTAAAATATGATTGTGAAAATAAATGCAAGTAAATTTTGTTTGTAAATCTGGTTTTTGTGACCTTTTGAATAAGTCATTTTCAGTGACAAATAGTCTCATTTATTTGATTAAGTGTTAGCCATGAAGTTTTGCGGATCTCATCATTTTGTATTTTTGTGTGGATCATACTGGACGAAGCAAATTAGATCTTAAATATCTGAAAAGTGAAAGTACGGTTGGACATTCACCTGGTAAATATCAAATGTATAGCACCTAACCTAAAGCACGGACGGGCAGACGAACATAGTGTTGGGAAGTGTTCGGAAGCATTCGTAAAAGACCGACGTTTGCTATATAAGCAAATCGAATTGCGATTCGATAAATACCTCGCGCTGTATTTGTGAGCAATAAACAATATTTTAACTGCTGTAAATCATTCAATTATAAATTTATTGTTAATTAATTGATTGTAAATAAATAAATCACGGTATTAAATTTACTTTACATTATCATCATTTCGATTATGATAATGATTAATTTTGATTCAGAACAAATTTATTTTTAAGAAGTATTTTTTCGAATTCAAATTTGGTGAACATAGGGAAATTTACACATATACCGCTTTATAGATAACAGGAACGAAATTACGTCTGGAAAGTTCTTGCTGGACAAAATTTAAGCAAGTCGCAAACGCACGAGATCCGACTGTGTCTACGTTACTGTCTGATTACTACGAGAATTATTTTCTGTTAGCGTGACTACATTGTAACCTTCAGATTAGCTGTGTTATTTGAGATATTAGCTACCGTTGCTTTGTAAATTCGTTTTTGAAGTTACCGATACCTAGATAGAAAAATGCTAGGAAAAATGTAATAACAAATTGAAAATTTGCAGGAGGTCGATTCAGTTTTGCTCAATATAATTATTGAAATAAATCTTAATGAGGAAACGAAACTTATTCATCGTTATTCCGCTTCCACCCGTATCTTACACAATAATATATAATATGTATAATACAATTCTAAAGAGTTTCTACAGAGGTAAATCAGGCCGACTTGCTCTGTATAGATTTGTTAGTTCAGGGAAATATGTTTAACACTTGGAGATGATTAAACTACTCTACGGCTATGCAATAGAAACTCGAGAGTCAAGACAATGCACACAGCAGAGTTTGAAGCAGGAGCGGAGACCGTACGGTTTTGATACTTTTCGTCTTGGAAATTGTTAGACAGTTGGACTTGTGTGAAGGGTCCAATGACGCTGAGGAGGGTTCGTAGGATCCACATTGATCCATCGTCGTTTAACTAACTAAACAAAAATATTATTTTCGTTTTCACGCCAATTTTGCATTGGCGCGTGTTGATTTTTATATTTTTACCCGTGACAAAATGCACATCAAGGACGTTTGCACTTTTTAGAATGTTTTATTACCTATTAGTAGTACATACAGCGGGTAATAGGCATACGTTACAATTTGTATGCAGATCAAAAGACGGCATCTTTAAGAAGGCACTCATCCGCCGTTGCAAGATAGTAACAAAAGGGACCAGGGATATAATGAAGCGCTTGACTACTCTTGTGGAAAATTAATTCCTCTTAACTTTTTGTTTGAAAAAGACAAGCTCAAGTGCGAAATCCTTGCCCTATACACGAAAAGTGACCGTAATCGACGGTAGATAGTGAAATTAATTTTCAAATTTTAAAAGTTCTTGTACATTGTGACACACAAAATTTACAAAATCACGTCTGTATAAATGAGAGTTTAACGATTAGAATTCCATCTCACATCTACTAACCAAATCCCATTGTATGCTTGATTTTATGCGAAAAAAAGCTTCCCATGAAAAAGAGGGGCCAAAAATAAACCAATGTACATGAGTTACGGTGCAATGTACCCCAGTCTATTCCGTTTTTCATTGTACGCTGAATCCAGGCCGTTGTCATAAAATTCGACCCCAAAAATATTGAGAAAAAATTCACGCAAACACAGAAACATTTTGATAATAAATGATCGTTATGCCTTCTTCAGTCTTGAGCGTTTAATTAGCCAGATTCATTTCTATATGTCCATTGTCCGTTATCCAAAAATGGGATTACGAGAGGGCACAATATTAAAGTAGATCATTTTCTATATCGGAAATTTCACCGCAACTTCGCTTATTTTCAAACTGAATTAGCTTTACGTTGCGACAAAAAACTCTTATCGCAATGACCGGAGATAAACTTTAAAATAATACAATGCAATTATTTACAGTTAAACCTCGAGTTAAACCTTACCTTTTTACGCGATATTCAACTTCACAATAAAGTACATAAAACAGATAAACCGATTATTTAAACTAAATGAACGTCAAATAAATGTGATATAAAACACATTGACCTCAAATTCAAATAAGATGATTGAAATTGTGGTCATTCTAAATTAGCAACCACATTTAACGTCAAAAGTAAATTAAAATAAAGAGTGACCCAACAGTACCGTAGGTGCTGAAACCAAATAAAACGTCCGCATGACGTAATTTACGGACCAGTATGTGTGAACACAAAAAAATCGAAAATCTTAGCGCACAAAGCGATATATAAATTCATGGATGTCTGATTAACATACAGTGAGTTTATTCAGTTTTCATTCTTCCGCATGTACAGTCGTGCACATGCAGTTGCAGCACATGTAACGGGAGCCCTTTAATGAGCTTGATTTAGTTTGATTTTTTTATATACAGTATATTGATTTTGCATGCCCAAGCGTATATTTCTTTTAGTATTAGACATAGGAAGAAAGGGTAAAAAACAAAAATACTCCACTTTTGAATTCTGACACAACTGCATATTAAAAAAACAAATGAAATAAAACAAAAGAGCATCAGATAACAAAGTATTTTTTTAAATGATTACTTTTTTCTGCAATATTCTTAAAGAGCTTGAAATTCTCTTTACAATGATACCAAGGCTATAATTACCTTACAAATTAAAGCTACAGTCATGTTTTTAAAACCATTCACAGTAACAAATTTAATCAAAAACAGAAAGTTTTTCATTTGCCACGTCTGTCACAAACCTAGTGGACAATATAACTTATAAGGTCCACAATGCAACAAAATAATAATTACACAAATGATGAAAAAATGATTTTCTCTATTCGATGTAATAATTTATTTATTTATTTATTATCCCTTTCTTGTTCTGGGCAATGTATTTAAATTTGTCTTAAGTTAACTGCTTTTTATTTGTTGTCTTCGCTTCCTGTTGTAAATTTTATGATTTTGTTTAAATTTCCACAGTTACTGCGATTGGTTCTAAGCACATTGGTTAAATGCACCTGTCAGGGTCCAGTAAAAACCTGAACGTTTAAGTTGAGGAGAAAGCTTCCTGTATGTCCTATACCTGCATCCGGTTGCCTTGATCAGAATCCGTGTCTGTATTGAATAACTTAAGCGTATAATATGGCGACTATATATCAATAAAAAATAATACCCATTTGAAGCCACATTGCGCTCTGCATTGAAAGTGGTATGTCAACCGCCTGGACCTTAGCGACCA